TTTTTCTGATTGAATAATGACCACGGGCTAAAGGTGTGTATGCCGGCGTCGAGTACATAACGTTTATCATCATTAGGACTTCATAAGGACTTAAAGTTGTTTTATGTATTGAAACAGAGTGCAATCGATGATTAAAACTTTTGATCACATTATTGAATGCCTCGTGGAGCAATGATCGTTAGTAGGATCCGTGTTTCAAGTGACTTCTTCACACCCTTTGCGGTTTTCTTTTCTTTTCCATCATATAACAAGCTGTACATTTTAGAATTTAGGCCAATGATTTCTTAAATTGGTGTTCCACAACATTCATCTTTCATTTTTCCCAGAACTAAACAATATGCTTTGGAATAGAGATAGTGGTCTTTGTCAAAATTACTTGAGACTTAAGATATCAAAGGGAAGAGGGACAGATGATGTTTAAATATATCTTGAGAAATATCGTCTGCTTGTATTTCGAATTCATAACAAAGGCTATCAATGTCCGTAAATAGAAGACTTGCCTGATCCCAAAGGTAAATTTCACAAATTCATAATGAAACTGAAACATGAGCCACAGGATGAAAAGCCAGGTTTCCCAAATTTGGAAACCCGATGGAAACATATGGGAATCGTGACATCAGTAGTTTCCATATAGTTTCCATTTCATGGAAACCACATAGTGGTTTCCACATAGATTCCCGACATGGGGAAAAGATCAACTCTGGTTTCCCGAGTTTCCCAAGATAGGAAACCATGGAAACATACCCCGGTGGTTTCCACATAGATTCCCGATATGGAAACAATCAACCTGTGGTTTCCCGTAAGTTTCCCAACAGAGGAAACCATGGAAACATGCCCCGGTGGTTTCCATGTAGATTCCCGATATGGAAACAACCAACCTGTGATTTCCTGGAAGTTTCCCAAGATAGGTAAACCATGGAACAGTGCCTTAGTGGTTTCCATAAGATTCCCGACATGGAAGCCACCAATTTGTAGTTTTTCCATGTTTCCCAGGAAGGGAAACTTTGAAAGTATATCTCAATACTAACCCACCTACCTTTTATTTTACAAAAAGTTAAATATTTAATTATGTTACCATATTTTTACCAATGATAAAATATTAAAACAAGTGTTTACATGCTGTATCAAAATAATTAACTTCAAACAGTTAAAATAACTAGATGTGTATTTCTGTTTGATTAATTTAATATTTCAGCACCGTGAACTCAATTCAATTTTAATTAATTTTATTTTACTGAATTTTATTTAATTTAATTTAATTTTGAATTTGATTTATCACATAAGTTTTGGTAAACTCGTATTGAATGCGTGAAGTGGAATAGAAAAAAGTAAGTGCATGCAATTATGTAGAAATCAATCATTTCCGATCCCACTTTCTTGAAGCTGTCTATGATGAATGTTCCTTTGAAAAAATGGAAGAGCTAAGGAAGGGTACATTTCATGAAATTATTTACAGAAAAGGTTTACTAAAAAAGATCGATTAAAAAGTAAATAAAGAAATATGTCAAGTTACGATTACTGATTAAGGACAGGTGAGACGTTCCTCAATAAAATAACTAAATTTTTTCCAGTATTTTGCAACTGACATTGAAGAATTATTTTTACATAATTACATGTATTCACAAGACATCAAGGTACCGTACCAGGCATTTGTGTTAGATACCAGAGGTTGGCATTTCTTATATACCGGGATAATCCGTCAGGAAAAAAATACTTCAGTTGGTTTGTCAAAATTACATTTTTAGTGTTTCAAGTTTTTAAATACAAGTTTAGAAAGTGATAAGGATTTTGTTTTAATATGAATTAATATATTAATAATATAAACTGGTCAGATAAGAATCATTCATCGAATTGGCTGGGGGTTGAGTATTATCATACTAGTATTTTACTATTAATAGTGAATATTGTTTTTTTTAATTCATAAAATTATTATTTTTATTATTGGGGGTGGGTGGGTTGCTTTTCATTTTTTCCTTGAGAACCCCCCCCCCCCCCCCCCCCAAAAAAAAAGCTTTTGAAAAAGTCACTTTGGTCGGCCTGTGTAATTAGGGACACCTGTCCTCACGTGCCATTTCAGGTGGAGACACGTGCCGCGAAGACACCTGTCACTGTGTATTTTTTGTATATTCTATGTGAATTGAGACGGTTTTGTACCTAAAGGGAACAATGGGCTGTCGTCGAGCATGTACACACACAGTCTCCGACCGAAAATTCTTTTAAATTAAGATGATGATTCGTGTTTCTTTTTATCATTTAAAAAATTGTATATTCCATAAATAAAGTTATACAAGAAAACATATTTATAAAATAACCTACATTTAAGAAGTTCAATGAAAGAACAAATTATTTAGAATTTTTATTTCAATTTTCATTACTGATTTAAAATAAAACTATCAGAAATTAAATATTTTTCTATAGGTATTGAATAGATCTTAATTCTCGTCGTGTATAATTATATTAAATCAGAATGACGTTAATAGATCAATGTGAAATCAAAACTGTATTTAATATTGTTGATGGGTTTTTGTGTGAAATTTGTAATCTAACGTACTACAAAGACATTTATTAGATAAATGTTTATAATATAATTCATCACATAAAACGTTTTTTTTTTTTTTGTTTTTTTTTTTTGTCTTTCCTTTTTTTGTTTAAATATGTACGCAGATCCCCGTGTAGTTAACGCCTGCACTTTTCGCATGAAATTACAATGTAGGGTCCTAAATGCACATACATTATATTTAACAAACTTTAAAATTTTCAGCCATTTTTTTTTTCCAAAGGCCATTGCTTTATATAAAGAAAAGTCTATAATATTTTGCATGATTTTGTTTTCCTTAAGAACAATGGATTTTAAAGTAGTGCATGATAAGGCAATCTATTAAAAGAATTAATTGTATAATTAATTCATTGTATATTTGTCACGATTGTATTTTGTGCACTTTTTGTTGATTTCATTCTATAAAGGTATGAAGTTTGTCAATACTTCAACAAACATTTCTTTATCTATGTTGAACACTACTTTATTTTTATTCGCTGACATGCTACTCTTTAAAAAAAAACTTGCGTGACTAATAGACTTGATCTTCAGGCCTGTAGGAAAGTAATTTCCGTTAGAGTAATAAACTAACCGGGATTTATTTTTATTTATTTAGCATACCTTACCAGATTTCTTAACGAAAAAAAAAAAACATTAAAGAATAAGGGCGGGACCAGCAGCTAAAGCTGTGTGCATAAGTACATCCCTGCACATCAACGAGTATAGATGACTTTCGACATAATCTTTCCCATGACTTCACTTATACCAATCTCGACTAAAATACTGAATTAAAATACTGTTATATTTTCCTGCCTTTGATAAGATGTTAGTTTTGTTCCACCTAGAGATATAACTCTCCTAAGAAAAAGGTTTTCAACATATTCTGATTCATTTTTTAAAACAATTTTACGTGTTAAAATGATGTGTGAAATTTTTTTAGCTAAAAGCCAAGGAGTTTAAAGTACAATGTACATGTAGCAATTAGAGAAAAGTCGAGCAGGTCCACCAGTAATATTGATAGCAGGCTCAAAATCTAATTAAACCCCGAAAAGGAGGGAGTTCAATTAGTAATTTAACACCCACCCCCCACCCCCCAAAAAAAACACAACAATTTATTAGCAATGAATTATTAATCACCGAACTTTTCAATCATCACTATTGAAATAAAAAGAAAATGTTCTTAATAATCATATTATAATATTATTGTAGCTCATTTTCATGCCTTTTAGGATTCCTGTGGAAAGTTCACAATAAAAAAAAATTTGCTTTTAAAAATTTAACATCTTTTAGTGTGACATTATAAAAGAAGCGGGGAGAGGGGGGTGCTTTCAGCAAGGACGGCCACTAAAAACAACCAAGCCCCGAAACCTATATCCCGAAGGCAAATAAGTTGAGGTGTTGAGCAAGAAACATTTTTTTCTGCTCTTGCCTCATGTATTTAACCGCTTTTTTTTCTAAGTATACTACGCCTACACATCATATCGGCAAAAATATTTAGGAGCCCTCTTTTTATTCCATGAAAAGGGGAAAACTTAATTAAATTCTAATATAAGATCTCAACAGTTTATATTTCCCATCCTGCATCGCTCTGTAGGCGGTTTATTTCATTGGTCAATTTCCCGAGGCGCCATTTTTGGAGGATCGAGAAGGACGAAGAAGAAGGTGTAAGCAGCTGGTAAATGTGAAAAGTAAAGATGGTTTCACCACCCAGTGTCTTTAAGACTGTGATAAATGCAATGGCCAACTATGAAGGATTAGTGTACGCATATTTTTGTTAACTTTTTACGGTAAATAGTTGTAATATTTGGCAACAACAAATCTTCACTATCGGAGGCAACTTTTGTTCTGACGCCATTTTGAAAAGTTGGATACCTAAGTTTTAAATTGTTAAGTGTATAGATGATAACTGTATATCTGTGTGTCTGTCTGAGTGTCTGTGGTCAACTTAAACCTTCACCATAACTTTAGAACTATACAAGATAGTGGCTTCATATTTATATGCATACTCCACTAATGAAGTGCTTTCAAATGGCAACAAGGACAATGATTATGTGATCTTGACAGTGACCTGTAACAGTATGCTAAAAAAATTGCATTTTCGAACTTTGTTGCTGTGTTTCACAAGTGCATCTTGTTTTTAGCTCTACCTGTCAGAAACCAGAAGAGCTTATGCGATAGTAATGCGTCCGTCCATCTGTCCAGCTGTCCGTCTGTCTGTCTGCAAACACTACTCCTCCTTAAATTTTAGTCTGATTTCAATATAACTTGGCACACAAGTAGACTATACTAAGATACATAATTCTGTGCATCAGTTTTTGATAAGTACAAACCAGTAGAGCTACAGTCCCGACAGAGACTTCTGGTTATTTTTTTCTTCCATCCCGGTTGTTGCTAATGCTATTACCTAATTAGTTAAAATTAGAATGCAATAGTACCTGGACATAATTTATCATTTCAGAAAGAAGAAAACTGTGTGACTTTAAAAGAAAACCAGTGAGATAAAATTGTAGAAAATGTATGATGATTCAGGATGTGGTCATTTGGTAAGTGGTTATTCATTCATGATCAGTATGTATATGACAATTGCCTGAAAAAAAAAAGATTCTAAATTTTATTTAAATACTGAACTGTGGTATATCAGCTGTGAGCTACAAGAAGTTTTATGTAAAAGCTAGGGCTGAAACAATCCCCCCCCCATGTTATGTGTGTATTGCTATGATTGACATACAATCAGTTCTCTAATACACACACTTCAATAAAACTTTGTCGTCTTGAACCTGAATTGAACAGGAAAAAACTCTGAGATCTCTACAAAAATTTGAATGAAAAACAGGAAATGCTTATTAACAGATTTTTGCTGGTCAGTATTTTGATTACTTAAAGGAAGCTCTAAAACCTGCACACTAAAGAGTTCTACTTTATTATCAGGTAGTTTTATGAAGTTAAAGTGATCTGCCCATAGATTAAGATTATGAAAAATGTTATTTTACAGTCAGTTAGATTATTTTTAATAGATTAAATTATTTTTGGCATTATTTAAAAAAAAAATAATTATTTTCATAAATTTTCCAATGTAAGTATAAACAGCAATGATTTCTGCTTACAGTCATAGTCCATTGTCTTTGAAAATTTCTTAGGGAAATGAGGCACATACTATATGTTCTAAATGAATAAAAAAGGCTCATTATGCACATATTAATATGAAATATGATAGATATTTTTCTCTTCAAGGAATAATTTCTGCAAGTCACTAAGTTTTTAGAGTTTCCTTTATTTATATATCTCAATGAAATTATTTGAAGTATTAAATTTTGGTAAATTTTATGATACTAAAAGGTTATATTTATGAAAAAACAGCATGTGTGTATGACAATAGGGCTTAAATTTTTAATGTCTCTTAATTTTTCAGTGACATTAAAACAGGAATTGTCATCACCAATAGACGAATTTCACATTCCTAAGAGTTTCCTCCAATTGTCGGCGCATCGCTCATTTTCCCCACTTTGTCCTTTGTAAGTTACTTGTTAATATTTTCAATCTTCAAAAATATTGGACAATTACGATCTGTATCTGTATTGCCAGAGTATGGGGCAACATGAAAGTCATAATGAATATGTTTATACAGATTTTATTTCTAAGATATTGTCCCTCAAAGTTGATACGGTTAAAGAGGGAAAACAGCGTCTTAAGCCGGTTGACCCCAGATCGACCCTGCAAAGGGGAATAACTTTTGTAATGTGAAAGTCCTTTGTGGTATATCATATAGATCTAAAACTGACTGAATTTTGATCAGCCAATTCATGAACATGATGGATGGATGTAAATAATGTTGGTCAATATATGTAAAAAAAAAAAATTAAATTACTTGTTTTGATATACATTTGTAGTATCTCTCCCACTGAAGTTTATAAACTTGTTATTTATTTCTTAAATAAACTGAGCGTAAATATGCAATACCGGTATAAAATTACTGATAAGATACATGTATACTTAAACCATGATAAAATCATATGTGTCCAATGCAGCATATGATAAATCATTAACAGACAAGTACATGTGTATATATACTGTAAAACATATATATTGCATTATTTTTAGGTCCTGTTCTGTGGATGCCCTTAGACAGTGTCTACCCATCACTCCATCTGAAATCACTTGTTCTGTGCATATTTCTCTATCAAACTTAAACTACAGAGAGCCTGTGGATAGAGGATGAAGAGTGACCTTGGACTAATTTTCTAGATCAAAGGTCAGTATCAAAATCTACTGTATATCTTTTTTTAAAATCGTAGTCTAAAGTGTATTTCTCCCCTGGTGTAATCTAGCTTTTGTGCAATGGGGTGGAGGGTCTGCAATGATCTTCAACCAAATTCTAAAAAAAAATCTCTCCCTAATATTTTTGTTATTATAAAGGGAACTGTATACAGGGAAATTTTTGCCCCCATTTTATTTTTGCCCCTTTCGCTCTACCCTCATAAGAGCGAATGTAAAACGGGGCGAGTTCAAAGAATACAGTAATATTTCGTTAACAATAACTATGACTGGACGAATTTAAAACGGGGCAAAATTGTTCGCAAGTGTGAAAGGGTGAAAATAAGACGGGGCGAAAATAACCCTGTATACAGTATGTTTTAAAACTAATCAAACTTAAAGCAGGGTTCTTAGTATGAGATACATGTAGTAATATATTCTCAATGACATAATAAGGCTGAAAACATTATTTCATATTATTTTTTTTCCACTTATCATAAAGCATTAAATATTAAAGAGATACATAAATGCTGAAATCATATGTATCATGGTCATGGAAAGTAATTATTGATATTGGTATATTAAAGGACATTGACTGATCTTTCAGATTTCTAAGTTATATTCAAACATTATAATTCTGACATCATATAATAATTTTGTATGAATATTGCAGATCATAGGTGATGTGAAGAAAACCAGGAAACTGATGTTGAAAGAAGTACTTAATGACCCTTATGAATGGACTTAAATGTGAAAGACTGTTCCATTGTTTATCTAAGATATATGAATTTATTTAATATTTTGATATCATTGAAAAATTCAGTTACAGTTTTTGTACATCATATGAATTATTAAACATATAAAATGGTAATGCTTTTTTCTTTTACATGTAATAAATTTTTTTGATAGATTTTTAAAAGAATACGCATTATTTCACATTGCTTCCTTTAGAAAAGTTAGGGAATCTTGAAGTTTCCCAGTAATTTCCACCAGGAATGGGACTCCACATAATTCCACCAAGTTTCTGCCACACAGAAAGTGCTACACAAGTTCCATAGAAGCTCCCAGTCAAGGAAACTTCAGGAATCATAAGGTTTCACGAGCTTCCATGTAGTTTCCATAAAAGAAAACCTTAAGATTCCATCAAGTTTCCATTCCACGGAAACCACTACGCTCATATTCCATATGGTTTCCGAATCAAGGAAACTTTAGGAATCGTGAGGTTTCCCGAGCTTCCATATAGTTTCCCGTATAAGGAAACCTAAAGATTCCATCAAGTTTCCATTCCACGGAAACCACTACGCTCCGATTCCATATGGTTTCCTGAGTCATGGAAACTTTAGGAATCATGAGGTTTCCCGAGCTTCCATGTAGTTTCCCGTAAAAGGAAACCTAAAGATTCCACCAAGTTTCCATTCCACGGAAACCCCCTACGCTCCGATTCCATCAAGTTTCCTGATTCTGGAAACCAGTGGAATCTTCAGGTTTCCCATTACGGGAAACTACATGGATATTCGGGAAACTTCAGGTTTACAGAGGTTTCCGTGGTTCGGGATACCTTATGGAATCGGAGCGTAGGGGGTTTCCGTGTCACGGAAACTTGCGGAATAACCTAGCATCCTACGGAAACCACTGGGAAACATGATGTAAACTTGAGGTTTCCATGTGGTTTCCAGAAAGTTTCCCGAGACTCGGAAACCACTTTTTTCACCCAGTGAGCAGCTTAGCGAGGTCGAGTATACAGAACCTCTTCTCGAGCAAGTCGATTGCGAACAATGTTTATTTTCTAAGGTTTACTGGCCACCAAATCTTCCTTAAAGATCTTGAAGCACTGAAAGATTGGTTTTGCGCACACCTTACTTAATCTCCGTATAGTATGTACCACATATACTCTCTTTCTCATGTTTTCTATGGTTTTCCCAAAGACCGAATTATTCATTAATTTGTAAAAAAATTTCTCAATCAGATGTAGCTTGCTATTCGGATCCTTTTGTGTGTTAAAATCTATGTAGGACTTTAACCAAGAAGACTGTAATTCTAAAACTGTGGATTTTTGTCAGTTTGAGTTCCTTAGGCAGTTAATACATGTGTGTATTTCAAATTTCGATAATGCAAAATATACTTTTTTCTTTGCACTGAGATCTGGAACACGCTAAGAGTAGTTTCCTTTCAATGCTAATTTCTCTTTGAGCATAAGAGTATGAGGAGATAACATTTCTTGTAATTGTCTTGTTCTCAGGGGCTAAGGGATAATCACTGTGATCATCATGTAGATTATCTGGATATTCCAAGTCAACCTCCAAAATATATTCAGTTTCAGAATCGTCTGGCATATATATGACGTCATTAATTCATCGTTTTGGAAATGCACCAAGCAAAGTCTTTCTGGGGAAAGAGGATTGACATACTCGTCCCATACAGATTGTTCAAATCTAAACAGGTTAGCCAAGTATTGGGTTTGCATGGATCATAATCAGAGACCACGGGATTGCTAGCCTTGGCATATTTCTTGGAGATCATAGACACCCCCATCTAATACCCTGTTTAATCATTAAGATCATGTCAATTGTAGTTTGACTAGGCCTCCCAGGCTAGACCGGAGACGTGTAAAAATGAGCTGGGTCTAAGTGATAAGAAGTCAAACACAAGCAAATCTCTAAATTTTTCAAAGACGTCTTACAACAACAGGATGACAGTTTTTAAGTATAAATCACGATTATCTCCCTTACTGGATCCACATGTCAAAGGTTTGCCATACATTCATTGCATGAGTGTAGTCCTTATCTGATATATCGGATTCAGACAATCGATTGTAAAATGTTGTAATAAGAGACAGCTCTTGGTCATTAAAACAGTTACAAGAGGACATGTAGTCATAGGGATACACACTCCTTCTCAAACAGAGGTCTCTTTGGCTCTGTATGGGAAAATGTTTGTATAGATTTTGGAATTTGGACCCCCTTTCTTTACTGGAGTAAAGTGTCTAGCGAGGCGTTCAAGAACGGAAATGAATCAATGAAACGCAAACCATGTAATAACCAGAAGTCTCTGATGAGACTGTAGCTCTACTGGTTTGTACTTATCACAAATGACGCACTTAAAACTAAGACAACAATAAATAAAACTAGGAGACTTATTGTTCACAGAACAATAAGAGGTCTTTTCACCTTCTCTGAATTTCTGTTTTGTTTTATATCTAACTCCTTAAACGCCACAAAAAAGAAAAATGGCTTAAAAGATACAAAGATGTAAAAAAAAAATGAAAATTCTAAAATTTGAAATGACGTTGACCTTTGACCTTGAATAAATTTTCAAGGTCAAAGGTTAGGGTCACATTGCAATTGACCCCATGCCTCTCCGACTTTTAGTTCTGAAGTTATAAGGTTTAACAGTAAGTACAAAAAAGTTAAAGGGCAATAACTCATATAAGGGGTCATCAGATCCTTTTGCACTTATACAGTGAAGTTATGCCTAAAGACCCTTAAGACATTAGTGAAGGTTTGGTGTCTCTACGGTCTACAGTTTAGGAGTAGCATAACAAGGTTTTTGCAAAAGGGCAATAACTTTTAATAGGGTTAATGTTAGGGGACAAGAATGAAATCTTTAAACAGTTTAAAGAGTACATATGAATGATGCATAGACTTTAAAGATATGTTGAAAGACAAAAGAGATATAAAAAGAGCTAAATTTCTCATTTTTGGAATGACCATGACCTTTGACCTTTACATAATTTTAAAGGTCAAAGGTCATTGAATCTTAAGCAGTTGGTTTCATGATTCTACGATTTGTTTTGAAAATTTTTAATTATTTATAATATTCAAAAAGTTTCAGGGGCAAATATACATTGAAGGGGTCATCGAATACTTTGAATGAATAAATTAAAAATCCCCCTTTAAATTTGTTGAAGACATTGGTGAAAGGTTTCATACTTTTATGGTTTACGGTTTCTGAGGAGTAGTGATAACAAGCATTTCTTGCGAAAAGGGGGAAAACTCCGAAAGGAGTCAAAGATCAAATATGGGGGGGGAATTTTCGGAATAACTTTTAATATCCAATATCATGAACTATTAAGTTTTTGAAATTAACGGTTTCAAAACATCTCCAGAAATAAAATAATAATAAACAGAAGCATTTCAAGAGGTCTTTCCACAGAAAGGTGGAAAGACCTAATTATAAACCCTTGTTTAAGGTTAATTGTTTGGCAAAACTATTATAATCAGACTAAAGCTGTTGGAGGTATACCCTTTGAAAAAAAAATCACAGAAATTATTTTTTTACTTTACCTACGCAACACCATTTATCAGTGACACACACAAATATGTACATGTAGCTCATTATAGTTTATTTTGTGCAAAATTGTGTAAATCAGAACCAACCTACAGGAGTAGCATTTTAACAATTTTACATATTCACACCACAAAATTTGCTTGGAGGAAGTAACATAAATCTTCTTCAATGTCTTCAAGTAAATGAAGCAAAAAATGCTAAGGTTGCAGGATCTTTGAGCATTTCCTTGCTTTCTGTTTGGCCATGGCCCAAAAGGTTTCAATTGGGGCCCTTTCAATTCTTTAAAAAAAATTCAAGAATATTTTATTTCAGTCTGTCAATGTCTGCTT